GTCCGCCAGTGGGTTTTGGACAAGAAGTCTTCTGGTCCCTCACTCGAGTGTTTGCCGAATTGTGGTCGCTTACGTTGGCTAGGCCATGTCCTCTATATGCCCGTTGATCAGCTTCCTCGGCGTGCAGTATACGCCGTGGCTGCACCAAGTTGGGAGAAACCGCGAGATGGCCAGTCACAGAAGTGGCATTGAGGCATGAAGAAATTGACTGTGAGTTGGTCAAGCTGGTGCCGTATTTGTAGATGGCAGTCTCGGGATGGTCCACATTCATGGTTGGAAATTGTTTCAGATAGGGCACGTCACGCAGACCGTGAGGTTCCTGCATTCGGTTTCTTGAATCTAGTCGTTAATTCTCGTTCCATTTTGATTAGTGTAACGCCCCTCCTCCTTGTTTCTATTTTCTTACATGGTATTTGCGTTCAATCTCACTATCTTGCCGTAGTTAGTTACGGTTATTCTTGTGATGTGAGTCGTCGCAACTGGATCCACCGCAATTCGGTGCTCGAATCATAGTTGTTCAACTGAACTGAACTGATGAGGAAAGGGTGTCCTTGACCAAAAAGCACGCACAAGTCGGCCAAAGATCAATGTGATGTTGGTTGTGTTTTCTAAGTGCAAAGGCATTGTCCATCAGAAATTTATACCACGTGATCAGATGACAAACAAGTAAGTCTATCAGAGAATTCTAGTAAGTTTAAGGGATGCTGTACACGAGAAGAGGCTTAAACTATGGAAATACGAGGTCTGACTCATGCATCTCCCCTTGTCTGCAGCTACCTAGTAAAACAAACAAACTATCGTTGTGACATATACATCGTATTCGCCGGATCTAAGCACAGTAAACATTTTCCTCCTCTTCGAAAATTAAAATCAAGTTGCAAGAACGTCGTTTCCAAACTATAGAGGAGATTCAGGTCAACGCGACGAGGGACTTGCGAGACAACCTAAAAAGTGCAATCTAGGAAACTCCAGAAATGGAAGAACAGTTGAGAACGGTACATTGCCAGTAAGGATTATTTTGAGGGACAGTGCATACAGTGTTGTACAGTGAGCAATGGAGATGGTACAGCAATCGTTCGGTTTCGTTTTGAACACATCTCGTGTACATCGTGAGAATGCAATTTCACACAGGATACCTAGACGCTATTTTGACCCAACTTAGAAGAACACACATAAAGAGTGTGCGCAAGACGATACATGGGAAATAGTATGTACCGTGAAGGAGCTACTCTCTGAGAGTATGGTGCTGTCACGAAAAGTAAGCTAATAAATAATAATAATAATGTGTCAGCTGTACGCCATAACGGCGCTTCGCTGCCGCGCGACCATCACCAGTTCAATTCAGTTCTCGTAATAAACCTTGACCCGAAAATCCAAACGCAGTGGATCCAGGCACAATGTCCGCAGCGTCATTGCAACAGAAGTGAGAGATGAGTACAAGAAAGGGAACGTAAGCGGACACACAAAGAACAGTCTAACGGGGAAGAAGTCAAAGGTCGAAAAGAAAGAACCAACGCTCCAGTGACTACGTCGTGTTGGACAGAATCTCTAATCGCTGGGGCGATGGGTTCCGAAGTCCCGACCCACTGAGATAACTGACTGGGTCATTAAACTAATTTCTCCATGAATTCACATCAAATAAATAAACGGTGCATTTCTCGGCAGTGCGAGACGCAGATCAAACATAGGATCCGATCATACTATACAAGCTGATAGGATAATGGTGAAAATTGTTCGCGGTTTCCAAAGGAGTCCAAGGAGTTATTTGGACATCCAATAATTGAATCGAATATAGTGGCATTATGCAAAAAACGGTAGTCGCATCGACTGTGCGCATTAGCCTAACGCCAGAGGCGAAAATCAATCACAAGCCTCAACTATCGTTCGTCGACTCACTGAGGAAAGGGAATTCCGGATTAGAGAACAGCAAACAGGTCTCCGCTCTGAACGGGATAGTGTAGATCACTTTGCAGTGTGTTCTAGAGCAGCGTCACGCATACCGCATACCAACGATAGCTGTTTTTCTCGACTTCAATAGTGTGTTCGATCCAGTTGATTGATGCATTCTGTACGAAATATTTGCGCGGAAAGGTGTTCCCACGAAATATGTCAACATCATACGTGCTCTATACTCGAACCTTACAGGTTGCATCAAGAACTACGGTGACTTATCGGATATCTTTCCGACAATAAATGGCGTTCATCTACGTTGCCCAATTTACTTCGTCTTGGACTCCATCATGGAGTGTTCTCTTACGGAATCTCACGACGCAGGCATTGTGATCCTGCCTGCTGAAAGGTTAGTTGATCTTGATTATACTGACAATATCGTCTGGCGTTTTGACGATGCTGCGGTGGCATAATCAACCCTTAATAGCCTGTCTAGAATGGTCCCATTATTTGGTGTGCGCTGCGCACCTTCACAGTTCAAAGTGTTGCTGCAGGACCACCAGCTACTTAGTGACTCACTAATCTTTGATAGTGAGGAACTCGATGTAGTTGATCGCTTCACTTACGTTGGTAGCTGCATCTGCAACGACGGGCGCATTGCAAAAGCCGGAACTGTCTTCTTGAATCTGCGACATCTTCGGCGACAGAAAGTGGTTTCCCTCGTTCTGAGAGGCTGTGTTTACAAGGCCAGAGCGAGGGCCGTCCTACTGTATGTGAGTGAAACTTGGCTCCTTCGATCAGAAGACCTGGAAAGCCTTCAAGTCTTTGATCATCACTGTCTGCGGAGCATTGTTGGTGTCGGGTGACAACAGCGTGCCCGAAACGATGATGTGTGTAGGCGAGTGCTAGACAACGATACCCAAGCTAGTTCCTTAGAGTAACTGGTACCACTAAAGAAGTTGCGTTGGCTTGGGTACGTAGTTCGTATGTCTGGTCACCGGTTACCTAAGATAGCCTTGTTTAATCTGCCAGATGTAGGATGGCGCAAGGCACGAGGTGGACAAAAGTTGACATAGCAGCGGAAAAGGAAGTCACTGACAACCAAACTCGGTACCGTCGATCCACGTAACTCGCCTTGGGCTTAGCTCGAGATTTTACAGGACATGGCTTGCAGTCGACACCAGTGGCACGTCTGCTGTCGTCACCTAGTCGGACTGCCTGTTTAAAGTGCGTTTGATGCTAAATTATCTGCGGAGTAATGACTGATCATGATGCGGGACAGTGAAAACCGCAAGAAAGCTGTCTTGTTGATGTTGCCTTATCTTTGCATGACAGCCAGCTGTATGTGGCGGTATGTTGTTAACACAAGGTATAGGCGTCTTGCCCTTGAATGTATGTTTAGGGCATTGAGGTTTTCCGGTAAGTCGCCCTTCTCTCTCTGTTAGCACTATTCGTTCCGTAGATCGTTGTGATTGTACAACAGCGAGGCATTAGTTTAAATGGCTGTTGTACTACTGGTGATTACGATGCTGGTGAATCTTCGAAATGTAAAAAGATGGAGAATTTTAGTAGGAATAAATATAGGCACAGTCAATAGTTCAGGCCATCAGTGGAACTGGCTCCTTGGGATTTGATTTCACACGGAGTGGTGCTTCGAAAGGTAAAGACAGACATCAGCAGTATGCCGGTACGCAGCACCCACGGTTCGCTGCCGCGCAACCACCATCAGCTGCAAGTGGTCTAGGAATACTCGGAGGGTCGCCGTGTCCCTACGCAGGTTTGAACCCGCGCCGTCAGATGACAAGGCAAGCTTTAGGCGGCGGGCTGGCGGTCCTTCTAAAGGTTTATCCGCACTTCCTCGCCCCATCTGGCCATATGCTGATGAGATTTAAAAACAGTTAAGCTGCTGTTACGTGCTAGACACACCCGCCATCCAGCCAATTCCACCTCTCAGATGCTTAGAGTCGTGCATTGTTAGTACTTGCCCAGTGGGTTGGCAACAATTCGTATTGCGTTGGTGTACTATTTCACTTAAAACTAAGTCCGTCGTATCATGTAACAGTGTACTAACTGCAAGCACCAAGAACTAGCCAACAAGCAAGCTGTGCGAGACCAGTAGATAATGAGCGTGACGCCAGATTTGTTGCCGAAGACCAATGGTAGATGTCGCAATGTGCAGCATCAAGGGACCTCCGGATCAGCCACACGTGATAGGATTCTCTGTCCGATATGGTGCAATTGCAAAGTCGCAAGAGTGCTTGTGTTTGTTCCATTATTTTTTGTTGCTAACTACGCTACCTGGTAATGCTGTTTTTCTGTCTTGTGTTCCTGCTGACATCGCGGATAACTGATACAACTATTCGAGGCACGGTCCGACCATTCCACAAATCATAAGATAAAAACTTGGACAAAACGTTTAATTGGGCCTCGAAACTATGGTGTTGTTCATAGTCAAGATGGAGTTGATCACATGGTTCAAAGAAATATCTTGGAGAAAGCTTCCACGCTAGCACAAACGACCAGAGGCATGTAAACGCTGTCGTTGATTGGCTCCAAGGCAAAAGTATTGTCATTGGTTGACTATCGGAAAAAGTGCTCTCATTCGCTGGCATCTGGCTAATGAGCATAGAGTTGGGTTGATCCGATGTTATGCTGAGATAACCGGCATGCAAACGGACTTGAAAAGTTTGTATGGATGAGTGCCCCTAGCAGTGACCATTCCTCCGGAATATACCTGTCTGTACCCATTGGTAAAATCCTGTGTTGATGGTGAGCTAGGGTAACCAGGACTACCGCATTTTGGTGCATGGATCATATATGATCAACTAAAATGGACTGATGGGTGGTTAGCAGTATGCTGAAACCATTAACGTTAGTAAAAGCTGATGGACAACCTGTCACATTTTGTATTGAATGTCGCAAGATATGAAAGAATGTTTTGGAAAAAAAGCCAAAATTTGCAGGTGCGACCAAACATGGCCTGCGACACATCAGCTAGTGTACAGGTCCCGGCTCCGGGACCATGAACCTTGGGCAACAACCAAACGGACACGGGTATGAAGCGATTGTTTAGACACAAGGCTAGAACAGGAAAGCTGCGCCCCACTTACTTGAGAATGTGGAGATTCCAGTAGAAGTTTTAATCGTCTCTTGTGTGGCTTGCTCAGCTTGTGCCGATCCAGGGTACTCTGATTGATAAAGTACTTTGCACAGTGAACGCAAAAGAACCGACCAAGACCAGGCAAGTCGTCGTCTGGTTTAGTGGCTTCAGTGATTCGACGAACCACGTTCTCTGGTGCCACATCCTCATAAATCTAAAACGTGTTAAATTGGAGTTGAGTTTACAATAGTGGATGTGAGACGAAGCATTGCATCTCCATAAGAGTGCAGTTTTGGCCCAGAGATCAACAGTATTTCGTAGAGCGCGGTCGAAAAAATACTAGTCCCAAGTTTCAAACCTGTGTTGCAAAGTGAAAGCAAAAAAAACCCCGAACATCGATGAGGAACACGGAGAGTCAACAGCCAAATGTTCATGACTCCCGCGAAACTTAAAAGAGCACGGTGTGAATTGTTTTGAGTTAAACATAGACGTGCCGAATGAGAATTGCAACAAAAACAGCTGTTGGAGGAAAGGCAGTGTGGCACGTGCTGAGTTCCTGAACAAGGTAATTCCATACAGAGCTTCTAATGCCGGAGGCGATCTACCGTGTGCATAGAACGCAGAAAATTTGTATGCAACAGTGCCTCACTATTGTCCGGTAAAACTAACTCCATATCTTTACCGCATCATCATTTGACCGCGTCGCTTTACGGTAAAAAACAGGTGCAATCTTTGCGAATAAGGCAAGCTCGAACGAACGGTTACAAAATGTGGTAAGTGCGAGATAATATCAGTGTAAGTCATCATCATCAGCAAGAGGCGTGCAACAAAAACAACAAAACGATGACGACAACAACAACAGTATATCAGCCAGTTGAATTGATGCTTCAATGCCATGCAACCATGAGGACCTGTGGAATAAAGAATAAGAAGAGGGAGAGAAGGGGAACATATGGGAAAGCCTTAATGCCCTAAGCAAACGAGTCAAGCGCCTACGCCTAGTCAACAACATACCGTCACAAACAGCTGGCTATCGTGCAAAGATAAGGCAGCATCAGCGAGACAGCTTCCTTGCGGCTTTCACTGCCCCGCGTCATAATCAGAAAGTACCCTACAGATAATCCAACACCAAACACACTTTAAACATGCAGTCCGACTAAGAAACGGCATCAGACTCACCACTAGTGTCCGCTGCGAGCCATGTCCTGCAACGTGTCGAGCCAGGCACAAGTCAGGTCATGGGAACACCATTCCGGAAGACGAGACGGACCGACGGTACTCAGTTTGTTCGTCAGTAACTCCATTCCTCGCTGTCGAGTTAAGTTCTGTCCACCTCGAGCCTTGAGCTACCTTACATCTGGCAAGTAAAGCAAGCCCCCCCCCTCGGTAGACAGTGACCGGGCATACGTAGTACTTGCTAAAGCCAACGCAACTTGTTCAATGCTCCGTTGTTCTAAGGAACTAGCCTGCTTATCGCCGCCTAGTACTCGCATACGCATATCATCGATGCGGACACGCTAGTGCTATCCGAAAGCAGTAGATCTTCGCAAGCAGCGCGTCAGATCCTCAGACCGAATAGGCTTAATCTCACTCCCACAGAGCAGGACGGCCCCCAGCCTGGCCTTGTAAACATAGCGTTGCAGACAAAAGGAAACCCGCGTTCGCTGCCACAGATGTCAAAAACCGGCGTTCTAATGAAACGGGCCGTATTTATTTATTTATTTATCTCGTTCGTAGTGGATAATAAAGAGAAGAGGGCATTGGTGGTACGCCGTACAGCCGCCCCACTGAATCGCGACCGCTGCTCAAGGGCTAGGAGTACTGTGAAGTTGCTGGCGTCCACGCAGATTTGAAGACGGACGCCTCATTCCCCAGGATGACGAATAGCTTGCAACGCTCGTAGTACCGTATCCAAAATGAATTCGTTGAAAAGGAACAAACAGAATAAGACGGACAGGTGATGCTTACTTGATCTATGTCTCTACTGCGATGTTTCGTTTTGTACCGTGACTTTCTGACACCTTTGCGGACCATGTCTGGTGGTCAGGGGTGAAGTGGCTGTAACACAAAAAGGAAAGTTTGGAACACGAGTGTGACGTCAACACTGGAAACTAAGGTATAGCCGATGAAAACTGGTCGTTGATTTATCGGGATTTCGAAGGGAATATCCAACCAAATACACAGGAACAACAATGAGAGAAAACGTACTGTAGAAAAAGCCAATTTCACTCCCATAACGAGTCAGAGTAAATGTGGGAGTTTCGGAGACTCGGATTTAGGGTGCAGAAGATGAATTTGCAAGATTTACGTCCAGAATTAGAGGTGGGCACTCTGATAGTACCCAAGTCCAAGTGAGTAATTTGTGATTGCACGGTAGCAAAGCACTGCCATAAGGCAGTGGTGTGTTCATAATAATAATAATAATAATAACAATAGTAATAACAATAAGTACACACGTTACCTAGACGTAGAAGACACCATAGCTACACAAGAAAAGAAAAAACAACACGCAATAGAGGCACGACAGCGGATTGATATCGTCCCGGAAAGTAACCAGCCGGCTACTATGCCGCAAAAAATATATTATGCAAGGAGATGAGATCGCAGTTGGAGGGGAGAGGAACAAAGAAATTCGGCTACTAGCCATGTCAGCAAGTGCATCCAGCCAAACATGTGTATCATCTTTCGGACCCCAACTAGGGAGCTGTGGCTCCAACCGAGGTCAATTTCGAGGGGAGGGCCACTATTGCGCTTGACGAAACCATCACCTGGTAACCCTTCCTCGTCCTCCATCCACACGTTTGGTGCGCAAACAACACAAGTCGCGGGAGTCGGTGGGCCGGCATGCGCAACACATGACCCAGCTATCGGAGCCTGGTGCGCGAAATAACGGTGCTGAGCGGTGCATTCCCTCTTTCTGTGCAACAAGCAAGGCGTCGAACACGCTCGTTGCTCACAAGGTGTTCCCAGCAGATATGAGCCAATCTGCGAAGGCACCGGTGGTCGAAGGTAACTAGCCTCTTTGTCTGCTAATCTAATGGATCAGGTTTCACAAGCGCACAGTAGGGCCGAACGTATGGTTGCATTGTAAACTCTACTCTTCAGAGAGAGAGAGAGAGAGAGCGATGTCTCGCCAGCGCCATAAGTGGCAAAGGTTAGCAAAGGCGATTCGAGCTCTTGCTATATGATTTGTGACCTACGATTTCACAGGCGCTGATACAACTGCCCAGGTAATTTAATTTTTGGGCAAGTTTTAGCTGATCCACGCCAAATGTCAGCGCGGGAGACGGTCCCTGCCGATCTTGAAGATGGACTTTGCATTTCGAGGGTGCAAAGCAAAGTTCGAAACGGCTGACAGCTTGGCATGTTTGTGAGCTGTCACAGATTAGGGCAATATCTTCAGCGTACTCCAAATCAATAAGCCGTTCGTATTGGAGCAGCTCCACACTTGTCGTGTCCTGTGAACGAGAGCTAGATGACTTCGCCAATAGCGAAATTGAAGAGGAAAAGTGACAGCTGGAACCCTTGTATTACACCGGTGGAGATATTGAAGAACGGTGACAGTGTGGCGATTGTACATATCTCTCTTCCCAATTGTACTTTCCTATTCTCATTTCCATTATTATTGTACAGGTTTGTTTTAACTGACCAACAACCGATAAAAGACTTTTTCGGGTTTCGATTCGCCTTCTGGTTTCGGCTACGCGTGTTGTGCTGTTGATCGTCGTCGGTCCGCTAGCCTCGTCCATCGATCATCGGATCTAACGCGTCGATTTATTGTGCCGACTAAGTTTCGTCTCCTGACCAGATTGTGCGACCAACTGACGGCCTACCGAGGATCGTGCTTTACCTAAGGTCAGCTCCAGCATTCTTATAGACTGAGAGTTCTTTTATGTAGTTAAGCCCTTTCCGTTTGGCCTTTCCACTATAACAGTTTGCCATAAGATCTCATTTTGCACCGGGCGTACGTCATGAGAAGTGGGACATGTTAGGGCTTTCCTACTTTATAAATTCTCCTAAGCTTTGTGATCGAAATAGGGCATCAGAAGTACCTACCGATGCCTCGCTGCCGCATATGCACCACCGGTCGCACGTGGATGAGTTATCCGGTCCCTACACAGGCTCGCACCCCCGCCCACGGATTACAAGGCAAACTTGTGATAATTAAGGCAAGGGACCCGTTTAAGAATGAATCGATTCTATCTTCTTCCGCTTTTGAGGCAGCCGTTTTGTAATATAACCAATTGCATAAAATATAGCTACTCTTATAACTGATCCAGTTGTTATACAAACGATACTGGATAGGGTTTGTGCAACGCTTCATGCCTCAGCATGTTTTGCGCAACTTGAACAACAAAAAGGTAGCTACCACCTGCACTTGGAAGCTCAAAGTTGCCGATCGAACACTTATCGTTTAAGTGAATGATCCACAAAACTGTATCGAAGTCAGAGTTATCGTGTGGATCGGGGTCACGGCCATGACGCGGTAAGGATGTTTGGAGACTGGCCATGGAAGACCACCGCTGGCAGTGAAAAACTGCTAATGTCTGGTGGAAGCAGCCCATGATTTGATAGTTGAAAACACACTCTGGCGCATCACTGGAGCGTCTTTTCGACAGAAACCGCCTCCGTAGGCCAGGTTATGTCCTTATCATACCAACAAATAGAGTCCGACCCGTAGCCTGAAGGATCACAAGTCCGCCTTGTAACCTGAGGGGGCAGATTCGAGGCTGCATAAAGAGCGGGCGACCGTCGTAGTAACGTTAGCCTACGTGCGACCCTCGTTAGGCCACGTACGACCGGTGGTGGCTGCGCGGCAACAAAACGTCGGTAATGCGTAACAGCGTACCGTTGATGTCCCTCTCAAATAGGCTACCTCAGTGTGCATCATGTACCAACGCCGCGACTAGTGGGGGGAAAGTATGAAGTGGCTCTTCAACAGCATTATAAAGGGGCATGGGGAAACTTATTACCCTGGGCGAGGACTTCAGAACCAGTGATGTACGTGTGCTTAGACATCCTATCGAGCGTGATGCAACCGAGAGGCCAGGAGTGGTCTGGCATTTGTTTTCTTATTTTTGGCCCCTAAGAACTCGATCTATCGACGTATATTTCCCTTGAAGCAGTATTAGTATTGATAGTTGTTGTATGTACTGAGCAACGTGCCGAGGTGATCCGACCGACCCCATGTAGTAAGGAATTGTTTAGCCCAGAAGAAGTTGGAGAAAATCGATAGATGAATTCGCTGACTAACATTCCACTGTGACACAGAAACCCATCGGGATGAGTGAAATGGTATGCAAGCACTGTGGTATTGTAGAGGAAACAGACCATAATCGCAATATCGGAAACATGAGTCAGGTAATTTAGATAACTAATGAGTCAGATAATGGTCCCACAACAGTGTAGAAGGTCCAGGGCAACCCACTTCAATGCAAACTGAGTAGTGGCGGCGGTTTTGGTTTGTATTCTCTGCACCGGATACACCCGGTGATGAAGGCGGCAAACCATCCACCATACAACTCAGTCTCCTCTATTCTATTCATGCAAAATGTTTGCAAAGGCTACTTCTGCTGTCTTGGCAAAAGGCATATGAAAATAAGTAATTCCAGGTGTGTTGTCTAACTCAATCATCACAGAGTGAGAGCCTATGGTCCCGTGACAGAGCTGTACGCTATCTGGCGCAACCCCAGGTTGCGGATCGGGGAATACCTTCCTTGTGGAGGTAACTGCGAATAAGTCTCGTCTGCTTTGTAGGCGAGATGAATAAGCAGTCGCGGACAATCAGCAGCAGCGTCGCAGATAGTGGGGAGTTCTGGGCTGGTCACCTGCTTATCCATCAAATACCACAAGTGCTCGTACGGCGCTGTGTCAAAGCCAATGTGACCAGCTACAGGGTCACTGACCACCCACTTCTGTAACTGGAGGTGAGTATCAAACGGAGGGCGGATGAACAACCTTGATGGCCACCAGCTTCTCTGTGGACTGCTCCCGAACACAAGAAGGCGAATGAACCAACTGGCTGTCAACGGTCTTCGTGAATCGTCCCGCTGCCTTGCGGGTCAGGTCTTTAAGACCAAAGGCTTGGGGTGGGGCTCCTTAAGTCAACCCTCTATTTCGGCCTGGGCAATCGGGAAGGTCTCTGCACAAACAGCACATGGGACTCTGCATCCTGTATTGTGGCACTCTGATAAATGTTTATTTGGCAAGTGTTAGATACAATACAATGTAGAGCCTACGGTAAACTGTTACCCCCTATTCAAAATCTACAGCAGTGTGAGACAAGGTTGCCCACTGTCACCTTTCCTTTCCAACTTCTCCGTCGACGAAATCATGAAGACTGCGTTCACTGGACATGATCTGCAATGCGTGGAGCTGCTTCTAATTGATCGACTTCTGGACTTTGAGTATGATGACGACACTGCGCTTATCTGCGACAGTGCACAAACGTGTCAAACAGTGGTTATCAGTCGTTTCGGGTAATGCTTTGCACCATCAAAGTGCAAAGTCCTCCAAGATTAGCAGGGACCAACCCATGCGCTGACTCTTGGTGGTGATCGGCTAGAAGTCGAACAGAAATCAAAGTATTTAGGCAGCTATATTAGCGCCAGTGGAACGAAAGATCATAAACCATAAAATAAAAGTGTAAGGTGCTTTTGCCAATCACCGCCACCTGAGGCGCAAGCACTCTTGACCTGAAGAATAGAGTTTACAAAACAACCGCCCATTCAACCCTTCTCTACGGATGCGAAACCTGACCCAACTAGTTGACGGAGATAAAGAGGCTAGTTACGTGCGATCACCGCTGCCTTCGAAGTTTAGTTCATGTCTGGTGGAAACACCGCATGAGCGATGAGCGCATTAGGCGTCGTGTTTTTGGCGCAGAAAGAGCGATTGAACCGATCAACACCGTTATGTCGCTCGGGGTGAGGTAGAAAGAATTGAGCGGGTACAGCATGTGAAAACCAGGATGGCCAAAGAAAAGTGGTAGCTCAAGTTGTTCAGATGGCGGTTGAACTGTTCGCTGGTCTTGGCAATTTGGTTGCCAAGTTCCTTAACCACCATGCTATTTACGCTGACAGGTCTAGAATCAGCCGGTAGGTCTTTGTCAACGCACTTGAAAATCCGGCAGACAACATCCTCCTTATATTCTGGACCAAAAAGCCAGTCTCGTTGCCAATTTGTGCAGTTTAGGATGAACCGAATCTGACCCTGAAGCCTTAGTGGGTTTCACCTCACTCGCCAACCGGAGAACTTGAGACTCCACCGTACTACTTTGTCCAGACAAGAGTCTTCAGGGACCTTGAAGCTAGTTCTCTGCATGGCTATTTGTTTCGCAGACAAAGACGCTTGAGTACTGTTCACTAAGCAAACACGCCTTGTCATAATTGCTAGAGGCATGAGTTTCATCCACTCGGAACAACGCTGAAATGAGCCAGTTTGCATCGCAACGTCTATTAACGTAGGCGAAGAACCTCTTCGGATTGGTCGAGACAGTGTCAGCTAAACCCTTCTCACACTGGAGTCAAGCCAACTTAAGACGTAGGTTGCACTTATTTAGAACCATACGATATATGTCAAACGTGCCGGTCGACAGAGCTGCTCGATATGTTCGCCGGAATCTAGACCGCTTCTCCAGCATGCTCTTCCTCACGGATGCTATCCACGGAGACTGCGCTCTCGACTCACTTCTTTCACCAATAGGATGTGAGGTGGAGAATCCGTCGCAACGAGACTGGACCTTAACGTGGTGCGACGGTTTGCGTACCTTATTGACCCATTGTGCTATACTGGGTGATGCCTCCGGGCACTTTGAGAGTTACTCCTACCAGGTTGGTCAATGGTGAGGTCAGACAAACTCAGTCACCTGGTCCTCCAGGTTGGGGGTTCGAAATGGGATGGCGTCCATTTCTGTAAAACTAAATCATTGCCACCTCCCCGCTGCCTTGCGGATAGGCTTTTGAGCCAAAGGCTTTGGATGAGGACCCTAATCGTCCTCTTGTCTAGGTCTGGGCGCCCTGGCAGTATCAGCCCACATACAACCATGACATCTTCTACAACCATGAGGTGGAGAATCATCGATGAGATCAACCTTACATTTTCCCAGGCTCTTTGAATAGGGTCCCGCTCAGTGATCGCATAATTCGATGATAAAGTCTTGTCCCGCATCGCTAGAAGGTATGCGGCTCAAATTTTCGGATGCCAAACGCTAGTGACCTCGTGGGGGCATACTGAAATGACAAGCAAAAGTGATCGTTGGTACTAAGAGGCCAATCGTAATGTCATTTGCTAAGTTGTGACTTAGAAAAAACAAGATCTAAGATGTAAGGCTGCTGATTTCTCATATACCTAATGGAGAAGTCCATGAACTGGCGTAGTGGTACCTGTAGCATCAAGTCCTTTAGGTCTGCACCGAACGATCCAAGCGCCGAGTTGCAAGATGGATCTGTTGAGCAAACCTTTGGTATCTCAGGTTGTTCTGGTGATAATCCACCTGTTCGCTGAGCTTGACAAGTTTGTAACAAACGGATACTTTTCTACTTACCTTGTTTTGCTCCTCGTCTAGAAGAAAAAGCACTATCATGGAGGCTTCCCTACGCTACGCTAAATGTTACACGCTACTTAACAATGCAATGATGATGTCACCTCGATTGGTAATGAAACGTTTGCAACAAACGTGCCAAGCTCAGCGAACAGTTCGACTGCCACCATACCTCTGAAAGATTGAAGTCGCTCAGCACCAGACACACGTTCGCAAGGTGAGTGTGCATAAACTCAATTATCCTGTTGGAGATGACCACAAAGCTTTTGTACACTAACATGACCGTAAACTGAACCGAGGAAGCGCAGATCAGGACTGCGAGAGCCGCAAGAGATTTGTCGATCAACTGAAAAACGCTGGTCCTCCATACGTCTAAATGATAACTCACATAAAGAGCTACTCCACCCATTTGACGGCCAATGGAGCGGTTAGCTCGGAACAGCGCGTATCTAGGCAGATATGCTTCACCGTCCGTGGTTTCCTCAGACAATCAAGCTTCAGTGAAAGCAACCATATCTGGACTAGATCTGTGTACGAGCAGATCGCCTCGCATATCTTGTTCTTCAGGCTTCGCACGTTGCTAAGTAATATTTGAATGATTTCGGCACACCCAGCCTTGAATTGTGTGCCAGTAGAATAGGCTCTGGAAGAGCGAAAATGGACCGCTGGCTGAGCACCTGAAAACCAGCCAATCGGAGACCCTGCTAGTCAGCTGCACGCCGGGCTTTTAGGTCGCTGATGACTTCTCCTCTAACCTATCCGCTAACGGGAGGTCTGGTTGAGCACTAACGTTACTATCTTTGAGCTTGAAGGCGAATCGCAGTAACGCACTGCGCTCTTCTGGGGTGGAGAGCACCACTACAAGCAGGCGGAGTCGAGGATTTGGAACATTACCCAGCCAGATGGGCTTCTTAACAGTAATGCCAGGGAACGCGAGTGGGAGAAGCCTGGTTACGCAAACTCTAACCAAGGTCATCAAGCATGTGCTCGGTGGGAAGGGCGGCAGTGGACACGTTTGTAAAAAAAACACTGCTATCTGTCTGGGAATCGCTCCGATGGGGTGTATTTACTCCGCATGCTTTGCTATCCACGCCACATGGTTGTATGATTGCAATCGGTCGGACCGAAGGGCTCACTGAGGGAATTTCAATAACAGGTGGTGCTATTAGCTCAGGCTGTTGCACCTTGAGCATTTGCTCACCTCACGGTTTGGGGGCAGAGGGATTTCTTGCCCTCCAACGCCTATACAAGTTTGGCCCAGGAGCCCATGACTCGCTTACCACTTTAGCAGAGTCAAGAATTCTATCAGTCACCTGAGTCGGTTGCCATTAAGTTATGCAGTATTGCATAGCACCAGATGAATCCGTGACTGGCTTAAAACAACTAGATTTTCCGCGAGCCGTCTTAGACTGATCAAACGAGGACTCTAGTTCTATTGGTGCCAGTGCCCGACGAGCGCACCGTGAGTGTCCGATGGGTGACGGATGAGAGTCCGAGTGGCAAATAATTGTGTCACTTATCTGGCGCTCGCCAAGAAAAATTGAGCAGGTTCCCCTACGAACGCTCAGCTTTCCCCAGCTTTTGCCTCCTATAAGAATCACCTATCACTGACTACAGGTTATTGCAATTCCACACATCTGGCGATATACACAATAGGCAGCGACAACACCATGTATTAAAAAGGAAGTAAGTTGCGGACTGGAATCATGCTGCGCAAACCGTTCTGTATCCTTTAGTAGCAATGTTTCCCACCTCTTAATTTTATGTTTATATTTGGACGCACGTTACGACCTGCCGATGAGAGTAAGGCATCGGGCGCTGGAGTGACCGCTGGTGGTTGGCGGGACAGACATATTTTAGTGGAAAATAAAGCAGAAATTTAACACCAATACAACAGTAAGACGGCAGTAGCAAAAAGATAAAACAGGGTGTAAAACGGGATTAAAACTGGAAACAACTGGAAAAATTACCGGTGAGCGTCAAGGAGACGATGTTGCCAAGTACCCCTTCAAGTGGGGCCGGAACAGTAAGGGAATCTCGTGAATGTTCCACCCTGTAAAACGTTGTTGATCCCAGAGTGAAATTTGTGGAACGATTTGCAAGAAGCCAAATCAACATGCACGATGCAGTCTACTGTCAAACAATGTTCACGTGCCGTGTACTAACAGTCACCGCCGTGCCGCCCACGTGAAGCGAGGTAAAAGTGGGAGAACAAAAACAAGGCAAACCGGAACAATGTAGGTAACAATTTTGGGATGCAAATGGAAAGTTAAAAAGGAGTAAGCTTCAACAGATAAGATCCAAGTTAAGATAAGAGGGGAAGACTTTAAACTGCAGACCAAGGGCGTCAAGTCGAGGTTCGAACTTGTGCACCGTTGGTGCCATCACTACTTCTGAAGGCAGCGTATTCCAAGAGCCCATAACCCTGCGTGAAAAACCGAGAATCAGTTCCAACCCGGTACGACCGTGCTTTGTGCTACTTCAGTGGATTGCGACGAAGAGGTGGCACCCGTATGGTAATGAACAGACCAGATTAGTCAGGGCCGACTTGACCTGTTAGTAAGCGAAAGGTGAGGACTAAGTAAACCCAAAATCGCCTGTAGTACATCGAAAACATGTCCAGCTTGAGTAAATAATTGTCAGTTGTATGCTGTAACGGCGCTTCGCTGTCACGCGACTATTACCAGTCGCGCGTGGGCTGAGTATACCGCGAGGACGTTCGCCCCTAAGCGGATTCGAACCGGTGACCTTATGATTTCAAGCCAGGTGTGTAGACCACTTGGTCACCGGCCGAGTAGCCTCTCAGCGTACGCCAGTTTCCTAAATTGAAATACGATTTTCGTCCCAAAACGTAAGACTCGTTCAACTGCCATCTTGTCCCGGATTAGGTAGGGGGACAAACCTTTACGCAATATATTAAGTGCGACCCAAGGCTGTGAACAGTCTTGTGAACATTTCGGTTGTCCTGATCCCAAATGACCTGCGGACCATCCACAACATGTTGAAACCTTTGCGAGCAGCTGACATGCAATGTTCACTGGACTTCAAATCAGACGAGAGCAAGACACCCAGGTTAACTTGAAGTGGCACCCGTGGCACTTCATTACCCCCAATTACATTAAAACATTGTATTTCATCATCATCAACAGCAGTACATCAGCCATTTGAACTGATGCTTCGCTGCCATACAACCATGAGGACCTATGAAATAAAGAATAAGAAGAGAAAGGGGGACTTACATTAAAACCTTAATGCGCCAACCAAACATTCAGGGTCAAGGCGCCTAGATCTTGTGTAGACAACATACCGTCACGAACAGCTGGCTATCGTGCAAAGATAAGGCGGCATCGGCGAGAGCTTCCTTGCGGCTTTCACTGCCACGCGTCATAGTCAGCCATTACCCCGCAGATAACTCAGCAGCAAACACACTTTAAACAGACAATCCGATTAGGAGACGGCAGCAGACGCACCACTGGTGTCTACTGCGAGCCATGTCCTGTAAAGTCTCGAGCCAAGCACGAGGCAAGTCACGTGGACTCTAGCCTGGAAGGCGAGACGGATCAACGGTACCCAGTTTGGTCCTCAAAGGCTTCAATGCTCCTTGCCAAGTAAATTTGTCCACCTAGAGTCCTGCGCCACCAAACGTCTGGCCAAATAATCAAGATCCTCCTCGGTAGGTGGTGACGTGGTATACGCAGTACGTGCCCAAGCAGACGCAACGTATTCAGTGCCATCTGTTGTTCTAAGGAATTAACTTGGTTATCACTAGGTAGTAGTCGTCTATGTACATCATCGTGGTGGATACACTGGTGTCATCCGCCACCAGCAATGCTTTGAAGACTTGAAGGCGCCTCAGATCTTCAGACCGAAGGGGCCAAGTTTCACTACCATAGAGCAGGACGGCCCTCACTGTGACCTTGTATACACGGCCTTTCAGACGGAGGGAAACTCCCTTCTGTCGCCAAAGATGCCACAGGTTCAAGAAGGCAGTTCTGGCTTTTTCAATGCGTGAACTGACTTCAGTTTGCATGCGCACATCGTTGCTGATGGAGTTGCCAAGGTAGGTGAATGTATCCAGCACATTTTGTTCCTCGTTAGCAAAGATCAATGGTTCATCAAGTGGCTGGTGATCCTGCGACAACACTTTGCGCTTTGAAGTTGCGAAGCGCATACTAAATATTGGACCGCTCTAGCGAGGTTATTCCGGTTTGATTGGGTCACCCCAAAGTCGTCAAAAAACAAGACGACATGGTCCGCATAATCAAGTTCAACTAGTCTTTCACCAGGCAGGACCTCAACGCCTACATGGTGAGATTCCGCAAGTGAATACTCCATGATACAGTCCACGTGGGAATTGAACAAAACTGAGAAATCCGACAACCCTTAGGAACGCCACTTGTGATCGGAAAGTTATCCGACTGGTCAAAGTAGACCCTGCGGAGGCCTGTATTGTTAGAGTATACAGTATGTAAGATGTACACATATTTCTTTTATACAAATTTCACACAATCATTTCCAACAGAATGCATCGATTGACTGAATCGAACGCACTCTTGTCCTCAAAGAATATAGCTATTATCGGTCTGCGGTATGCTTCGCCCTGCTCTAGCACCAGCCGCAGAGTTAACCTATGCTATATACAGTCACGTCGAGGGCGGAAACCTGCCAACTCTTCCCTAATCCGAGATTCTCGTTCCACAGTGAGGCGACGGACGAGAATCGCCGCCAGTAGTTTTGGCATACCTGGCGTTAGGCTAATACCCCTGCGGTTATCACAGTCTGTGCGACTGCCCTTCTTGTATATTACCCCTATAATCGATTCACTCTACTTAGCTTGGACAATCTCTTGCTTCTAAATATCTTCAACTAACGAGGTCAGTGTTTTACAGTGCACCGCAACTCCAATGCTTAACTAGGGCAGGTGAAAGGGAATCCGGGCCAGCGTCACGAAAAGGATTGTGGGCTGTGCTCGTGTTTTAGACGTCCGCTTCCGATGGAGCGTCTACACTAACCGTCCATGACTCATCTTGCGTCCCCTGGGTAGGAAAAGGTCCGGGAGCAGGGGGCCGAGTAAACTGATCTTGAATGGCTTCCGCCTAACGTGTCATACGGCGCTCTTTATTGTGTATCAATGAACGTGCGCTGTCTCTGATTGTCTCACTGACGCCCATGTTCCTGGGACCTGTATTAAGGAACAGCTGGCAGAGCTTGCGGTAATTGCCTACTCTCCTGCTTCCATTATTTCATGATTCCAACTGGTCCACCAGGCTTTCTTGTCAGCAGGTATGCTCTGATTTACTTCACGCCCAATAGTCCGTCTGTTCACATTGTGCGCAGAGGCAGTCGGAAGGTTTCTTCTAGATTCCAATAGGTTCACCGACCTCTCTGATATCCGGTGGCTGGTGCGGTGACGATGGATAGTGCCAAAAGCAGATGCTCCTGCGTCGTGCATGGCGACCGCGATCCTATTCCACTGTAGCTCAGTGTCATTAGGACAACGGAGCCAAAGTTCGGTACGCAATGCAGCTCGGTGGGCCTGCCTGACCGAGTGCCAGTGGGAGGAGACGCTTGGTGTGTCTCCCGGTAAATTTCATGCAGAAACGATAGCGTACTAAAGCATGATCAGAGTCAACGCAGGTAATCTAGTAGGAGTGGCAATCCAGGATGAAACCACGCCACCTCAACTTATGGCAATGTGATCTATTTGTGTCCATCTCTGAGTAGCCACAGGAGGAGGCCAAGTGGCACTTCGACGCCCACTGCTTGAAAGCAGTGCTACGAAGAAACAGCTAGTGCTCAGCACACAGTTGCAAAAGACGCTTACCGTTGTCCGTACGGTCAGAGTTAAGCCCATACTTACCATCTAGCTGAGCTAATGAAGAGCTCAGACGACCTACTTGTGCGTTCATATCTACTGTAAGTACTCTAATATCTGAGCTAGAAGCACTGCGTAGTAGCGCGTTCAGTTCATGGTAGAATGTGTCCTTTGCAGTACCAGAGCTGCAGTAGGTGGAATCGGAAGCGGAAACCACAAACAACATTGTCTTGTACTACTTCGTGAAGCAACTTTGGTCGATGTCGTCAAACGGGCTGCACACAAACAACTTTTTACCGGAAACCAACCAATCAACGCTGATTCATCCTTGGAGTTGAGTACGACACCTACCCTTTGACCAGTGGCTGCCGCATCAGTGTCTCCGGATGCGTGCAACCAATGGCGGGGGAATAAGCGGGGCGCACTTATTTTATCAATCCTATGAGAGCCATTGATCCAAGTTTCGGATACGCTACACAAAACGTATCTAACGTGCGTGCGAGTTCAGCCTGTTGACCTATCTGTCTTAGTGTGCGAACGTCAAACACCGCCAGAGAAACGGGACAGCGTGGTCCTATAACGAACGGTTACCGATAGGCGTCCAGTGGGTGCTGCGGGAAGTTATGTGCAAGTGGTTCGACTGCAGTGGAATTACGGCTGCTGTCAATTAAGCTGGAAACTATCGGAGAAAGTTTGCTAATAAGAACTGGGAAAAAAATAAGAGAGATAGGTGGGAAAGAAAGAAGGGAGACGCCAGCAGTAGCGTCTTTCCGCTTATACGCCCTGCTGTATAGGGCATATAACTCGACCCTTGCTAAGTTGCGCGACGGCCGACGCAGTATGTACTTAATGTTTGAGAAAATTGTCATGGTTGTAGGTGGGCTGATGTACTGCATGGTGTCCAGGACTGGACAGGAGGACGATTGTGGTTTTCAACCAAAGCCTTTGTCTCAAAAGCCTGTCCGCCAGGCAGCGGGATGGTAGCAATGATTTAGTTTTACCAAAATAGATGCCATCCTATTTCAAACCCTCATATTGGAGGACCAGGAGACTGAGTTCGTCCGACCTCACATCTCTGACCAACCTGATAGGAGTAGCTCTCAATGGACCCGGAAGCAGCACCAGTATATCTCAATGTGTCAAGGAGGTACACAAACCGTCACACCACGTTAGGATCCAGTCTCGTTGCGACGGATGGCTGAAGATTGTTATTCTTGCTCGTTAGCGAATGTCAGAAGT